ACCCTATGGATTATCAGCCTTCTTGGAATCCTACAAATCCCTAATTCTTTTCTGTTTTTCCCATAGCCCTGGCTGCTTTGGAATTTCTCTTAGTGCTGTAAGTGACAAAATGTCCTCTCAGCTTAGTCAAGATCTCTGCTCTCCATTAGTCAAGATTACTGCTCTCCAGGCAACCATGTGTCTGTGTTTTTGCATCCCAAGCCTTTTGCTTTTGAAAGGGAGTGATTAGATTGTATCTCCTTGTCAGAAACCCTCTTTTCCAGTGGTATTTGACCCTCATTACAGGTTTTGGTGATCCACTTGAACTTCTGGCTTCTCTTCTACCCTTTTTTTTTAAAATTATTTTTATTTTATTCCCCCACCCACCCCTGCCCCACTCCTCATCCATAAATATGGCTTTCCCCAGTGGCCGTTTCCTCTGCTGGAAGATAGAGGAAAATGCATGCTCCTCTGGCTATTCTCCGTTCTGCTTTCTCTCTTCAAATAAAATGTTCTTTCAGCTCAAACTGAAATTTGCTAGTGTCAAACTTCCATTTTAATCAGAAATTAAGTTCTTATGTTTTCTTTCTTAAGCTTCATGCTTCCAGGGCTAAATCTGAATTACATTACTTAGAATGAGAACACTCTTGTGATGGTATCTCCGGAAGTCCTTGAGGAGCCTCTCAGGTTATTCATGTGTCCACTGTTGAAATAATTACCTGCAAAATTAGTTACTGGCCTGCACCCAGGTCTGCTGCTAAAGTTTTGGGGAGGAGTATCTCTACTACAGCTCAGGGACATGGTTTTACTGTGGAGCATTTTGGGTTCAAACATCTGCTGTGCAGCAACTAGAGTTTGCCACCTTCGTACACTGAGCATCTTTGCTGCTGTAGAGTGGAGTTGTACCACACTTACTGCTTGTACAGAAATGCCCCTCACCCCATGGTAGTTGGTGGTTAGCGATAACTGCTTGAAATCACCCGCTGCTTGAATGTCATGTGGATTTACTCAGAGGAAAACAAGATTATTTTGCAGTTACAATGCTTTTTGGGATATGATTCACTACTGCATTCCTTTCACTCCCATTTCCTGCCTACCTCAAGGAAGGTATGTTCTGGTACTGAAAAGGTAACCGTAGTCCTAATTCTACTTTAATATGCTGAGCAGGAACAGTGAGGTAGCAGAAGTGTCCACCTCACTACCCATAGCTCACAAGTATGTTCATACTTAAAACATGTATGTAGACAGTAGATATCAAAGAACTTCAGTTAGAAAATAGTATGTATTTTTCTGATTTGAATGGGTTTTAAACTGGTATTTTTCTGAAAGATTTTTAAGGTATTATTAAAAATGTAATATGGAATGCATTCAAAGCCATAAGCATTTAACGAAATCAGTGGAAACACAAGGCACTGTCATCCTGTATGTTCAGGGAGACGCATCATTGTCCTCCAATTACATTTCAGATCTGCACTGGTCAATTGAGTTACTCATACTGGCTTTAAATTCTGTATACAAAATAAATGATTTTTGCCAGATGAATCGCTTATCTGTATGACAACAGCTTGTTTTTTCTATAAAAATGTAATTTATACTCAATTAAAAAAAAAATCTTTCTACAGAAATTGTTTTCTTTGGGAGCTGGAGACCGACAGCTGATACAGACTCCTCTACATGATAGCCTTCCTGTTACAGGCACCAGCGTGGCTCTTCTCTTTCAGCAACTGGGTATGTCTAGGTCTGCTTTGGAAAAAAAATCCTTTTTTAAATGGTGGAATGAGCTGTTTTCTATTCTTACTCAGATCAAATCATGTGCCAAGAAAGCTACACCGTAAATATTAATTTCTTTTGAATGAAAGAATGACTAATAGTGCTTTTATCCTCTAGTCAGACATTCACATAACCATTTTGTACATCCTGCCTGCGGTAAGTTGTCTCTGATATTATTTAGTGTCTGTAAGTGTACTGTGAGCAGAAGTGAGCCTGGCCTCTGTTTAATTACAAAAACATGCATGTAAAATATTGCCCACCCCTTGATATTGTACAAACTCCGAACAAAGCCAAGGAAGTTAATAATAAAATCGGTTCAACTGCAGAGGTTAGTAGAGGAGGTAGCGTGTACTGATATTGGTAACTGTGGAATTCATATTATTCTGTTGTTATCTATTATTCCCTGTCTTTCAAGAAGATGATCTAACACAATCCTCATCAAATGCTTTCTTGTTTGTTACAATTACAATGTTGTGTCACTGTTACCTTGGGTACTCAATACTAATCTTGTGTGTTTCATTAAATTTTAACACTTCATTAGTCTTCTTTCCATGGGTTTGCAAAGTGACTTTGAAGACAGACTTGTAGCAGCCATGGTTAAGGGCACAACTGATAATTTTTTATGAACTTGTGAATCTCATGTTTGGTCTTAAGTGGTCAAACAGCCTCAGAATATGTGTTGTCATCCGTTCTCATAAATGGACAGTGTGAATGGATGCCGACTGAGTACCTGTAGGAGGGAGAAAAAAACCCCAACCAACCAAACAAGAATACCCACCTTCTTTTCTATTGTGGCATAGTATTTTCTTTTGCAAGTCTATCAGAGCTATTAGGAAGACCTTTTCTAATGGTCTTGTGTAGGTCCTTGTTCTGTCTCTCTCCTATTCTTTGGCGTGATGAAGGCAGTAGTTGCTTGGGAACGGGCCTGAAATTAGTTAAGGAATAGGCAAATAATTTGGTAGGTCTATCTATCTATCTATTTATTTATAAGCAGCTGCTTGAACCCTGTGCAAGAGAGACTTATTTTTCCTATCTCCTGTTTCTAACCACTTCTGTTTCTCGTTTTGGCTTTGGAAATATGCCTCTGGTCCCAGCTGATGTCCCTTTCAAAGTTTTTGTGCCTATTATCTGGGAGTATAGCACAATGGTAGAATCACCTTGTATCTCTAAGGACATAGATTAAAAAATGTTTGTGTTGTCATAGTGTGCATCACTTTACAGAACAGCACATAGTTCCTTTCACATGTAGACAGTGTTGTCTTCTTAAGGCCAAGGTGTGTTAATGCTAAATTTCTGGTTGGATTTACTTGAGGAAAAGGTAGGTGTTGTTAATGCAGCTACATATGTCTGTCTGTCGAATGTAAAAGGAAGATCTGGAAATACGAACAGACTGCTTTAAATAAAATCTCATTTATTCTTACTTTTCATTTAGTCTTATGAAGAATTAAAGGCAGTGAGGCTGGAAGGATGTGGTAGAACATTTTAGCTTTGAAAAGGTTTGGTTTTCTAAGATGAAGCCTAATCCTTTCCTCTGGAGATCACAGTTGAGCTTGTCGGAAGTTTTTTTAGTGCTTTTTGTAACACTATTCACACTTGCTCTGTTTCTGTCGTTCCATTTGAACAGGAGCTCAATGTGTATTCTTCTCTATCAACATGGGCGAAAGCATTCTACTTCTGTGGTCCATGGTGGTGTTGGATAGTCATTTGACCGACAGCTGTTATCCCGTCAAATGCTTGTGTTTGCGACACAAGTATTGACTAGGCTGTTTGTAAAGTAACGACATGTTCAGTTATTTTGTTTTGGGTACAAGTCACTTAATCATATTTAAATTATTAATAAAAAATTGAAGAGTAGCTAGAAAAATATTTGTGAACTGTATAAATCACCTTTTTAAAAATAGCTCTTTCTTTGAAGAAGATGGGCAACAAGACAAAATTTACCGCTATGAATAGATACAAAAGTAATTTCAACATTTATTTTGAGAAATATTTTGCAATAGTAGTCTCATCATGCTTTTTCTGCTTGGCAGGATAATACTGTGTCAGTGGATGACCCTCCCTGTATTACCAAGTTCACAACATATCTGGAAATAGACCTCATTTTTACTTAGGCGTTAGACTACAGTTGGGAAAAACATCCCCAAAGGCTTTAAGCTTAATAATGAGGACAGCAGTGTTTGACATTTTAAATCATGCATTTTTTTTTATTTAAGAAAATTTAATACATGGGAATAATGTGACAAAGCCAGGCCTGTAGCTGGATCACTACACCTAAAAAATTACTTCATCAACAAGGATTAGCTGGAAAAACAGTAATCATAAAGTTAGTTTTAAAAATGACGTGGTGACTAGAAGACTTTCAATACTCTTCTGTTTCTCATTGTTAGTAAGATGTTTGGTATCTATAAAAGCTTTGAAATGCAGTAGCGTTCTTCAGGTGCAAAGGAGATTTTGGTTGTTTTTCTCTTCTCTCTCACTTTATTAACAATACATTCCTTTGTTTTTGCCTTAAGCTCTCTTCATTTCTCCAAGCTCCAACCCTACTTGCCTTCTCCTTCCTGCTGTGGCAGCATGGTGATTCAGCACTGGCATATTGAGTCATTTGTATTTGAGACATACACCTCCATCTCCCCAATGGGCAATTTTTTCCAAAGAACCTGAGACACAAAATTATATTAAGGACCTGAGCAGCAAACCAAGAACCTAAGGTTTAACCAGAACTTTTAATTTTTGCATGTTTCAAGGCCTGGTGTCATGCTAAGTCGAGCAGAACAATTATGAAAATTTATTTTCCTGAAGACTTAATGTTTCCCCCTACTTTTCCAAACACTTAATCAAAGACAAGAGTTTTCTTTCTTTTCTTTCTTGTTTAGTCTCTTATCTGGGCCAGAAAGAGCCCAATTGTATTGAAAGTATTTAACTTCCAGTACTGTGAATGAACTACTTAAATAATTCTTCAGTTTCAGAAGACAGTAGAGTTCAACATAGAATAACTCAGTGCTGGCTTAACTGTAAGTCAAGGGATACATGTTGGCTAGTGGCATGATACAGGAATGGTACTTGCTTGTAGTTTGGTTTTCCAATAAAATAGATGTACTTTGTGCATAGTTAAATACTGGGATGAATATTCATTAAAAAACATTAAGTGACAGATCATAATGTGTGTTTGGCTGCTAATTACTTCTGGTGTTAAGTTATTAACAATAGTATAATAAATTTTACTCTTTTTTTAGTGATCACAACCAGAAATTTCCTGTTACCTCACCACCTGGCTAGGTAGGGCATTGATGGTGTGTGAAAATAGAGCAGTAACACTCGTCTGTCATGTTCGGTGAGAGCTTATCTGCAGTAGTTTGCACTTGGGCAAAGTAAAGCTGGTTGCCTTGAGTGATCTGGTAATTGCTCCTTCATAGAGGGATTGGATGCTTGAATTCCTTGACTCTTACCGTGATGGAGGAGCTTGTATAGAGCTGTAATTAATTTAGGTTGGAACGGGTCTCTTAAAATCAAAATATCCAGTCCCATACTCTAAGTAGGCCCACTTTAGACTTCGATCAGATTCATCATGTAGACATGGATTTTGGAACAACTGATACATATTAATGTTGGGGAGTTTGAATATTTCTTGAGGCTGTGGACAAAAATATGAGAAGCTCATAGTTTGATGTCTGTAAACATAACACTCTTTAATGTCTGTAAAATTGTCTATCCAGTCAAAAAGCAAAAAAATTAATTACAATGTTCTACAAATTAGCTAACTTCTGTGATAGTTTTTAAACTGACAGTACTTGTAGGACATGCTGTACTTTACATTTTTATTCTAAATGAAGGTAGTAGTTCTGCTGCTTAAAAAGTGTAGCCTCCTTAGAAAACATAAATCCCCAAAGAACCCAAAAGCTGAAAGGAATATTTAAAGTGTTGCTCACATTATTGCACATACTGGCTTTTAAAGGCTGCTTTTTGAATGTTGGGTTTTTGCGTTGCATTTTATCCTTCTATTTGCTCCGTATCATAGACCATATGTGTTACCATTTGCTGCTTTTTACGTCAGTGTTGTTCAGGGAGAGGAGTTCTTGGGTACACCTGCCTAAGCTACAGAAAATGGCGAGCATCAAAACCAAACTAATATGAAAAGATCATGAATCAATTAAGGATGGAAGATAAAAGATGGTTTCTAACCATAGGAAGAGAAAAATCCTGCAGTGTCTTCTGTTGTGAATTCAGTAATGATGAGCAGTATCACTACCTTTAGGGTGAAGCTTGATGGATTTGGGATTGTCTTATATAGCCATGATGGTAAAATGCTGGACTTTTTCACTCTTTATAGACCCTTCAGTCCCATATTTCTAAATCCAGGGTATATTAAAATACCCAGTTTTTGCTTTTGACTACATTTGTTGAGAGTTTGAGGAATGTTTTCTATAATGTAATAGTTTCTCATTATTTTAAATCTGGTTTAGGAGAGATATAATGTTCAGCCTCTAATATAGTGTACTTTATGCCAGCAGATGACTATATTGAATTACCGTATAAATGGGAAAAGACATTCCTGATAGATATATATGAGTATTTGTAAGGCTGGGTAACATTAGGGAAGGGTCACTGCACAGTCAGCACATGAGCTGGCTTCAGTGTGTTGACTAAGAAAATCCTGGTGTCTTCAACAAAGAGCAAGAATTGTTTATATTTTAATGCTTCATTGTGTTCAGAAATAATGTAAGGGCAGCTAAGCAATGAGTGATTTAATCTGCACAACATACGAAGTGATCAAATGCAGCATTTTCAGTACAGCAATACCTGAAACTGGGTGAAGCTCTGAAACAGTGTCTCAATGTGGGGGCCTTTCCACATCTCATGTTTGTTATGAGACTGCAGTCGTATGAACCAGAACTTTTTTTACTTCTGTCAGGTTGTTTACAAACTTCTTACCCAACTCAGTTTTTTTTTTTTTCTCTTTT